GATGAGCAGGGGAGGGCAGCCAGGTTGGGCGAGCCAGCAGGGAGGTGTCAGAGTGGAGAGGAGTAGGGGAGTCGCCTGTGACCCAAAGAGCTTGGTGCCAGTGATTTTCCTACCGCAGGGTGTGGGCATACTTGGGGGTGAGAGCCAGTGGAGCCCTTGGTGCTGGGGCCAGCCTTGGTGGCCAGGCAGTCTCACGAGAGGGGGTCCTCGCCCTTTCAGAGAGGGCTTTGTCCTTATCAGGCCCAGGGAGGACAGGCAGTGCCGAGGAGACAGATCTACCAGAGGCCAATGCATCTCTTCTGCCAGTGATTCAGGATCAGGGTGTCAAAGCCAAGCTGGGCATGTGGCCTGGTCTCCACAGGGCCTTGGGCTTGCTTGCACTCAGGTATTTCACTGTTAGCTGTGGGCACCGCTGTCTGGTGCAGAGGGGCACGTGGGTGCATGCATGGGGTGGCTGTGTGCATGGGGAAGAAGTGCCTATCCTGTGAAGGGCATCCAGGGACCATGCATGGAATGTGTACGCAGCCTGGGCATCCTTACAGATGTGTAACTGGAGGGTGGCAGAGGAGGAGATGGGGAGAGGGCAGGGCAGGCTTTCTGGAAGCAGCAGCCCTGGACAGATCCAGGCTCTGGTCCCCCCAGAGCTCTCGACTCAACTCCACTCAGCTCAAGTCCTTTCTGAGGGGACTCCCCCAAATCCCTCCGGGCTCCTCATTCCCAGTGCCACCTCCGAGACCCCAGGCTGGCCTTCTGAAGGGAAGCAGTGCCATCTGGTGGCAGAAGAGGTAGTGCCAGGCCACGGGTGAGCTTGGTGCAGTGTTTTCACAGAGCGGGGACTCTCAGGACAGGAATGTAGCTAAGGCTCGAAGGCTTTGTCCAGATTCATCTCGGGTCCCCGGCCCAGGGAGACACGGCGGGAGAGCCGGCTGCAGCAGGAGCATTGGATGAAAACATGTGTAGGGAGTTGACGAACCCAGGACTTGGACCAATGGACCCCGTCCCTTTTCCTGTTTCCACCTCGCTGGGCTCGGATTTGCCATTTAGAAAGGAGGGGTAACTGGACCTACACGGTGGGCGTGGTGAGGAGTGTGTTACACGAGGAGGAAGGGTGCAGCTGAGCCTGCTGCAGGGTCAAAGTCAATGGTAACCAGTGGCAACCGGTTGATCCTTAATCACGGTGAGACCCTGTGTGTCAAAGTTGAGCAGTCTCCACAGGATTGTCAACGGCTACCTACTTGGAGGTGGATGGCCAGGACTTTCCTCCGTTGAAAAAATATTTGGTCGTGCTGTAGTGAATGTAGATTACACAGTAGATTAGGTTCCCGTTGAACGATTTTTTTAATGCAGATAGCTCCATGATACCGGTTACAATTTTCACAGTTAGCATTTTTATGATTCCCATTGTATTTGTTCTGTTTCCATCGCTCTAGCTTCCCTACCCCTTCTTGTTGAATGCTCTGCTTTTGGGTCAGTGCTGACCATTCGATCCCTAGAGTTGGTTGTTTATGGGACACGGGTTGATACTGCTTCTTCGACAAGTGAATCTATCATTGGCCTGAAAGGCGACCTTCTGGCCAGGTCACAGCAGGCTCAGCTCCACAGGGTCACCACAAGCCAGGGTTCACTTCATGGCAGTGGGTTTCCAAAGAACACACACACACACACACACACACACACACACACGGTGCCTCCTGTTCGATTTCTGGCATTTCCTCGTGTGAGAAATCTGTCCTTGGATCCTGGTATGTTCTAGGTGTGATCAGGGGACAAGACAGGGAGGCTCTGCGTAGAAAAAAAACTCAGGAGAAGTTGGGTGAGGGAGCAATCGTCCCAGGTTGCAGGGGAAAATAAAGGAAGAAAAAGGCTGCTTTTTGAATGAGGCCTTAAGGATTTTATTTTTTCTTAAATTGAACAGTACCAAGGATACACAAATAATTCCTTGCTTTCTCTTAAACTTTTTATTTATCTTATTAGGAGGCTCTTACACATCTTATGACAATCCATCATTCAATTGGATTAAGCACACTTGTACATATGTTGCCATCAACATTTCCAAAACATTTTTTAAAATTTCCCAGACCCTTTTTATTTATTTATTAATCATTTTATTGGGGGCTTGTAAAACTCTTATCACAACCCATACATGTATGTGTTGTGTCAAGCACATTTGTACATTTGTTGCCACCATCATTCTCAAAACATTTGCTTTCTACTTGAGCCCTTGGTATCAGCTCCTCATTTTTTCCCCTCCCTCATGAGCCCTTGATAATTTATAAATTGTTATTATTTTGTCATATCTTACACTGTCCGATCTCCCTTCACCCACTTTTCTGTTCTCCATCCCCCAGGGAGGAGGTTAGACGTAGATCCTTGTGGTTGGTTCCCCCTTTTTACCAAGACTTCCCTTAAAATTTCCAAAACATTTTCTTTCTACTTGTGCCCTTAGTATCAGCTCCTCTCCCCACCCACCCTATAATTCCTTGCTTTAAAAGATACAACAATACAGAAGCACATACCGTAAAACACGCAAGCCCCTTTTCCTAGGCCCCAGCCCTAGGGATGACCATCGCTAAATGCAGGCATGTTTCTGAGTTCTTTTCCTATCCATTTATATATACATAGTTATACTACACACTTAGTGGGTTTTTTTCTCTTTTCTTTTTCTTTCCATTTAGTGGTTTTAAAAACAACACATACAAAAGCATGAAGAATGATCTACCTTGCGCTGTTCACTTATGCTAGGTCTTGGGCATCCCTCTGTCGTACTACCGAGTCCTTAGAAAGCAGCATATGTTAAATGGTGATGGCAACATATGTACAAATGTGCTTGATACACTTGATGTATGGAGTGTTATAAGAACTGTAAGAGCCCCAATAAAATGATTTTAAAAAATAGCACATGGTTCTGTAGGGCAGAGTTTCAGGAGTGGAACAGAATGGTTACTGGGTACCTCTGTCTTACATTTCAACAAACAAATTTTCATAAAATCCATCGCTCCCAAGTTGATTCACAGGTTCCTAGAGGTCAGAGTAGGAGTGCCCCACAGGGTTTCCAAGGTCCCAGGGCTGTACAGCTTCACAGGAGGCTGCAAAATTCCCCCCGCCGCCCCATGCTGGGAGGCTCAAACCCTGACTTTTCCGAACAGAAACTCCTAACTACGGCACCACCAGGGCTCCTTCAAATGTTGATAGTCCCGGTACTCAAAATGGGAGAAAGATAGGATAGATGTAGTCTTGAAAACACACAGGGGCAGAAGCAACAAAGCCCACATGGAAGAAGCACACCAGTCTGTGTGATCACGAGGTGTCTATAGGATCAGGTATCAGGCATCAAAGACCCAGAACAAAAAAATGATATCATTATGAATGAGGGAGAGTGCGGAGTGTAGACCCAAAGCCCGTCTGTGGGCAATTGGACATTCCCTTACAGAAGGGTCGTGGGGAGGAGAAGAGCCGGTCAGGGTGCAGTTTAGCACCGATGAAACATACGACTTTCTAAGAGCCCCCAATAAAAGTATCTTAAAAAGCAAATAAACAGATTGATAAAAAAAGAAAAGAGAAACATACAACTTTCCTCTAGTTCTTTAGTGCTTCCTGCCCACCTCCACTATCATGACCCCAATTCTACCTTACAAATCTGGCTAGACCAGAGCATGTGCCTGGTTACAGATAAGAGCTGGAAACACAGGGAATCCAGGACCAATAATGAGATTAGTCATTCCAGGAGGGGAAGGGGAAGGTGGGGGAGGAAGGGGGAACCGATCACAATGATCTACCTATAACCCGCTCCCAGGGGGATGGTAACAGAAAAGTGGGTGAAGGGAGACATCGGTGAGCATAAGACATGAAAAAAAATAATCTATAAATTATCAAGGGTTCATGAGGGAGGGAGGGAGGGGAAAAAGGAGGTTCTGATACTAAGGGCTCAAGTAGAAAGCAAATGTTTTGAGAATGATGATGGCAACCAAGGTACCAATGTGCTTGACACGAGGATGGATGGATGGATTGTGATCAGTTGTCCAAGCTCCTAATAAAATGATTTTAAAAAGAAAAAGAAATACCAGCACGGGGGTGGGGTGGGGTGGGGGGGTGGCGGAGAAAACACACAGGGGCAGTTCTACTGCCCTACAGGGTTCCTGAGTCAGAATCCATGGGAGGCGGTGAGTGTGTGTTTATGGTTTGGTACTCCCCCAAAAAGTGCTCTACCAAAAAAAACCGCTTTGGGTTACTAATGGCAAAGAATCCGTTTGAATCCACCATGTTCTCCAGATCTACCGGCTGGGAACTGAGGAGCCGTCTTTGTGCGATAAGGCTCACTATGGGTTCGCCCGGACTCAACGCAGGGGATTTTTCATACTACCAAATGACCTTGCGTCGTGTGCCAACAACTAAATACAGGCGATGGTCTGTCGGCGTTTTGTAGCTCATGGAACTCCCAGACCACAATTCCTAAGACCAGAGTTCTAATCCTAGTTCAGCATTCTGAGGCTCTGTTCCCTATCTGTAAAAGCAGATGGTCTCCCAGAAGGTCTCCGAGCTCCTTCGGAGGCTGGAATTTACATGAAGTCCAGGAGATGGTCACTAACCACCTTATTATAATAGCTATTGCACTCCTATTGTACCCAAGGTGAAGCAGTTCACAGTGTTTGCTTGCGGAGATGGGTCCCTCACTTGGCTTCCGCTTTCTAAGAAGCCAAGGCATACCCAGCAGGGCTCATTTATCGTAAAAACTACAAATCCCAGAAGCAACGTGATCACGCGCCTACCAGACTCTCCGGCCCCGCCCCCTAGAGGCCAAACTACATTTCCCAGAAGGCCTCGGGACTCGCTTCTTTCCCTGGGCTTGCGTTGGCGTTCTACCCCCGCCCCCTACCCGAGAGCCTCGCGCCAAATCGGCGCGCGCGCGGGGTACGTAGCTGGTGAGTGACGCAAAATATGTGGGCCGCTCCGGAGCCGTGGTCGCGCTGTGTGTGTGTGTGCGAGTGAGGGAGAGTGTGAGTGCGGGACCTGAGGCAGTGTGTGTGTGAACTGTGGCCGCTGGCGGGGTCAGCGGGGAGCGGCGGAGCCGCCCGGGAAGGTAAGTGAGGAAGGAGAGAGGGGGCTCCCGGAGAGAGGGGCGGAGAAACTGGGCGCGCGGCCGGGAGGGCGGGAGAGGGGCGCCGGGCTGGGGGAGGGGCGGCATCTGCCTGGGCCGCCGGCGCGGAGGGGGGCGGGCCAGGCCCGCGGAGAGGCTGAGCCCAGGCCCTGACAGGCCCCTTCTTCCTCCGGATTGCTGACTCGGGGGCGGGGCCTCCGTAGTCTTCCTCCAGTCCCCCGAAGACACTTCCCGCGAATACTCTTCCGCCCGGAGTTGGGGGCAGGGGCATGCCCGCGCCTACCGGGAGCAGAGGTACCCCTCATTCCTCTGGTCCCCCGCCCCTCCCCCTCAGTCTTCCCAGTCTCCATTCCGTCCTGGCCGGGGGTCTCCATCTTCCCTGCCGTACGGCGGCCCCTTCCTAGACCGTGTCTCCGCCTCCAGTCCCAGTCACCTGGGCGGGCCTTCCCCTCCCTCGGCCTCGTGCCACCTCCCCTTCCGCCCGCCCTGCTCTGGGACAAGGCGGGGCGGGGGCAGAGGGCGGGGCTTTCTGGACACTCCTTCCACTTTGGTGGTTTGGGGGCAACCTCAAGAGTGCCCACCTAAGCTTCCCGGGAACCCGTTTCCGGAGCTTGTCGTTTTCCAAAGGGGAATCAGGTGTTTAACTCCGTATTTCTCCTACTTCCCCGTCTCTTCCTCAGTCCTCTGTGTGTCTTCCTCTTAAACAGCGGGGGGAGCGCTCTGGTTTCCCACGTGTTGAAGAAGTTTTGGGGGTGTTTGTAGTTAATTTGAGCCCCAGATAACTCGTCTGTGTTCATGTAATGTTGGTCTCAATTTTTTCTTTTGTCATTTTAACGAACCCTTTTAATTAGTGTACACTTCTTAATTATTCATACATCAGCATCCTCCTCCTCTAAATGCGTCGTTAATGTGCAACGTGAGGGATTCGTTGACAGTGTCACCGTGTCATTTCCTTTTTCCACTTCATTGGGGTTTACCGTCAAGGTTTGTGTAAGCGAGTCTATTGAATATTGAAGGTCCTTAATTAGGGATTGACTTTCGTATCGGTCTGCTTAATGTTAAAACTTGGGCTTTGTACATAGCAGTGTTTGTCAACCGCTTGCGAGTGGTGGTATGATTTTAGGTGTCGAGATAACAAGCAGGCCTGGTGATACAATGATTAAGCATGCTAATTAAAAGGTCAAGGGGTCACCAGCCTCTCCCTGGGAAACTGGGTGATTGCCTCCTCTAAGGATTAGAACCTAAGGAACCAGAGGGGCAGTTCTACTCTGTTCTGGAGGGTGCACACGACTACAGCAAAGGAGATAACGGACACAACCTTTAGGGCAGCGAATTTATGCTCCCTGTCTCCTGGCTAGTTGCTGGAAAGTGCCTTACTGTTCCTGTAAGAGAGGAGGCATCTGCTCTGGAAGGTGGTATAGCGCCAGTTCTCTTCATTGTTCTTCTAAAGGTGATGGTGGTGGATCTCGGTAGTTATTGAAGGTTATACAACATCTCTCACCTGCGATTAGTAGTTATTGGGTAAAGTTTTACTTGCAGCTATCAACCTGCCTCCACCCCCCCCCCTTTTTTTATAAGAATATTTACAGACACTTGTATCAGAATTAGAACCTTTTGAGGGACATTGTAAACGTTTACATGGACTTTAGACTTTGGGATAGCTTCTGCTGAATATGCTATTTAGTGCTATGCATTAGAAAAGCAAAGAACATATTTTATGGATTTGTTTTTTAAAGGTGCTCAAGGTTATAGTGGGAAAAATGGGCAATCTGAAGTAAAAAGCTATAGTGAAAAATATCCTACCCCTATCACCAAGAAGTTAGTCATCTGCCACAAAAGCATTAGCTATTAGTTTTTTTCTTTATTCTTCCAGGGAGCTTTAACACAGAAGGAAGGTAGGCTAGTAGGTAAGTACAGCAGACAGATACACACCCAAACACCTTTAAAAATTTTTTTGTGGTGACACACCTGGTGGCACCTGATTAAGCACTTGGCTACTAGCCGAATGGGCTCCTCAGAAGACAGGCTTGGAGATCTGTCTGGAGGTCCAGCCTTGAAGACCGAGGATTAGCTGTGCTCTGCCCACACGGGCTCACTGTGAGTCGGAATGGACTGGCTGGCCAGCAACCACCACAGGCATATTCGACAGCTCTGCCCGGGGCTCTGCTCCCTTGACATGTGTTTGCGAGTTGATCCAAATTAGGAAAGAAAATAATGCTCAACATCCTCAACTTTCTATTAAGGAAAATTTGAAACCTACAGAAAAATTGAAAGAGTAGTGAAATGAATAGATATCTACCCATCCAGATTGAGCAGTTAATATTTTTACATATTTGCTCCATATTGTGTTGTATATTTTGTGCAGTCGTTTAAAAATAAACTGCAGACACATTATCAGTAAATATCTCGGCATGCATGCTTTAGGATTAAAGCATTGTTTTCAGCGAAAGTTTATGCAGCAGTTTGTGTTCCCATTTGTGTTAGTTAGGGTCAGTGGTTCACAACCTTCCTAATGCCTTGACCCTTTAATACAGTTCCTTATGTTGTGGTGACGCCCCCCAACCATAAAAGTATTTTTGTTGCTACTTCATTACTGTCATTTTGCTACTGTTATGAATCGTATTGTAAATATCTGATATGCAGGATGTATTTTCATTGTTACAAATTGAACATAAACATAAAGCATAGTGATTAATCACAACACAATATGTAATTATATATTGTGAAATATTTATGAGTTCTCCGATGGTCTTAGGCGACCCCTGTGAAAGGGTTGTTTGACCCCCCAAGGGAGTCATGACCCACAGGTTGAGCACCGCTGGTCAGGGTTTACTACAGAATTGTTTGACCCCCCCAAGGGAGTCGTGACCCACAGGTTGAGCACCGCTGGTCAGGGTTTACTACAGAATAGACACTCCTATGTGTATAAGAAAGAGCTTTATTTAAAAGAACAAATGTACATTGAGAAAACATCTGCCCCAGTCCAGATCAAGTCCATAAGTCCGATATTAGCCCATATTTCTAATACCAAGCTATATATTCCTCTTCAGACTCACACAACCCATGCAATGACACTGAATGCAGGAAGATCACAGGTCAGTGGGAGGAAAGTCTTGTGGATCCTGTGGCACTGGAAGCATCTCCCTGCTGGCAGGGGTCTTCACGTGGCTCCTCCAGCTCCAGGGCTTTAGCTTCATGTGTCTTGTCAGAAGAAAGAGGAAGCAGAGAGTCTGTGTGTCCTGCCTCCAGCGTGCTATTTATCTCCATAGCACCTCCAAATGAGGTCTTCAAACATTGACCTGCTTGACAGGCTAAATTCCACCCCTTCACTCTTAATAGTCTCAAGCTGACACCGGATTATGGAACCACCACACCATTCAACACTTTCTATGCATGTTGGTGGTCAGGACATTGCTTCCATTCTTCATAATGTGTAAACACGAATATTTCTGTTCTGGTTATTGTGTTTCCATTGATCTTACATTCTGATCTTTGTCTTCAAGTAGTTTCGGGCTATTTGGTCTTCCATAGATGCTTTTCATAGGCGAGATATTCATTATTTTGACCTGGTTTGTTTCATAGGTATAAGGTGATGTCAGAGGTTAGTTTCAGTTCAAGGTTTGAAGAACATCTCAGGGCCATAGTCTCAGAGTCCGGCATGCAGCTTGAACAAGCCTGTTTTTCTGTCTTAAGAAGTTGAGCTTCTGTTCTACATTTTTGCCCTGTTCTCCCAGGATCCTCCTTGATTAGAATCTTTGATAGTGGTAGCCAGGCACCACCTAATTCTTCTGGGCTGAGGGTCGATGAGGCTGTGGTTCTTGTAGATATTTGTCCTGTAGACTAGTTTCTCTCCCGAGTCTTTGATTTTCTTCCTACTTTTTTTGCTTTGAGCCAGTGAAAACCGTAGCTGTGTTTCAGATGGCTGCTCATATGCTTTGAGTCTATGTGCTGCTGGATGCAGCGAGCACCTCACACACCAGACACCAGACACCAGACTAGGACGTAGGACAGGACTGGATGAACTGGATGATGCCAGTTGCACTGTCCCATGATGCCATGGTCCTAGTGCTTCTAACTCAGAATCCAATTCTGGTGTGTTTGGTTTCGTCTAAATAGTAGCCCTAACTGTGTCTCTGTGTAATTTAATATATGTAAATATGCATGTATGTACATACAGTCATACTTGCCATTAAGAAAGCATTTGTTTATCTGTATGTACATATGCATGCACACATCCCTCATGGTGCCATGAGTGGCTTCAGATTTGGACTGCTCGCTGCAGTTCAGTTGTTTGAACCATTAGCTGTTCTGAGGGAGAAAGTCTTCTTCCACAAAGCTTTACAACTTCAGAAACCCTAGAGCAGCGGTTCTCAACCTGTGGGTCGTGACCCCTTTGGGGATCAAATGACCCTTTCACAGGGGTCGCCTGATTTATAACAGTAGCAAAATGACAGTGATGAAGTAGCAACGAAAATAATGTTATGGTTGGGGGTCACCACCACAGGAGTGGTAGGAGGTATGAAAGGGTCACAGCATTGGGAAGATTGAGCACCACTGCTCTAGTGTTTCTCCTTTGCCCTCTAGGGATGCTTTGAGTTGGAATTGACTGGTAGTGGATTTGCTTTGGGATATACATATATGTGCACATGGGACTGTATACTCATACATTATTTTTATGGCTTTTGCTTTGTTTCAAATTTAAAGATGCTGTAGCAGTCAGCAATAGGTCCCTTTTGTGTATGTACACCACTGTCATTCAGCGTTAGGTATTTGTTTTTAAAGTGCTGGGAGAGTTGTGACCCTCCATACAGTGGTGCAGTCACGTGCACTGATAGGAGGAGTAGAGGCTCGCAGCACTGAATCCATACAAATTATGTAGCAACAAATAGAAACAAAAGATGAATTCAGTTAGTGACACTTCAACAAGCACCTGTTCTTCCTAATGCTGCACTGAATCTCATAGTTCAATTAGGAAATTAAAT